ATTTAACTGGGGTTCTAAGTTAGTGTTCCCTATAATCAGAATCCATAGCTGATCTGTAATGAAGGTCATTTCTTTAAGAGAAAGAGAACGCGTGTGTACATGGGGGTTGAGGGTGGGGGAGCAGATGGAGAGGGAGAGAGAGAATCGCAAGCAGGCTTCAAGCCCAGTGTGGGCCCGATACAGGGCTCCGTCTCATGACCCTACAATCATGACCCAAGCAGAAATCAAGAGTTGGATGTTTAACCAACTGAGCCACCCAGGTGCCCCTATAATGAGGTTTTATTTACCATACTGAATATATTTTTTTCTGTGCATAATTTCATGTTACAGATGTTACAAGGGAAAAATAATGAAATATAAGGCATAACCCCTATTCTCATGGAATTTATTACCTATTTGTAAAATTACCATTGCAGTGGGAGAGCTATCTTAATAATTATAATATAGCATTATTGTTTTAGGACAGAGATGAACTAGTTCATTACAAGTGCCTAAAATAATTTTGAGACAATTTATACAGTTCTAAAGAAGGATAACTATAAAAAAGTGAAGCCAGGTGTGTCCTTAATTTTATTAGAAAGTCTGTAGTGTGCCTTATACCAACTTCTTTTTCAATATTCTTTTTCCTTTTTAGGTCACTGTCTCTTAATATTCTGTTACTTCATTATATAATAGTTATTTCCTTTGATACAACCCAAGTAGAATCTCACTCTTTTACATTATTTTTCCTGTGATCATTTTAAGACATAAGGCTTTGCGTTCTTCTCAGATGAGTTTTTATCTTCATCTATTTAACTATTTTCTTTTTTATATACCACATTTGTTTCTTTAAAAATTTAAGGCAGAAAACAAAACAAAACATAAAAATTTAAGGCAAGTTTATCTGTTAGTTATAAAACCAAGGACAGCACATATTTAGACCATTTAGTCTTTTAATCATTTGAACTGTATAAAAGAATAGTAAAATCTCTTTTTTTCTTTTTAAGATTTCATTTTTAAATAATCTCTACACCCAGCGTGGAGCTTGAACCTACAACCCTGAGATCAAGAGACATGCTCTACAGACTGAGTCAGTCAGGCGCCCCGTAAAATCTCTTCTTGATCCAAACCAATCCAAAATTAGCCAGTTAATGTCAAATTGACAAATTACATTGGTAACACTCTCATATAAGAAAAGATGGAAGCAAAAGAGAAAAAAATCTTCTCTTTAATATGCAGAATGAAGAGGAAGATGTAAGAGACAATCACTATGAAAGGGAAATGTAATCCTCTAGTCTTTGTGGTCAAGCTGTGACCTCCAGAGTTTTGAAGAAGGGTATTTATGGAAGGTGGTATCCTCCCCTTCTTGCTATAGTCGAAAAGGTATTTTCTCTAGGAATTAATATACATAAAGAGATCATTAGAAATTAGCAAAGACATTATTCATTAAGGTTACAAGTCAGATATGATCTCCATGTATAGTTGGGAAACACTCACATGCTCACTTCACTCATTCTTGAACAGGAGTTGGAGACATGGATCCTATCCCTTAATTCTTAATATTTTCCTCTTTTTGCTGCTTGATTGTTCTTTTCTAGGCATGCTATATTACTAGTTTAGTGTGTTCTAAAATACCTGCCTTTATTTAATGACATATAGAAGAATATTGGAAAAAATCCATCAAAATTTTTAAGATAAAAGTTTGGATTTTCAAGTTAACTTATTGTATATTGAGTATTTGTCTATAAAAGTACATCAAGAGGGGATAGGAAAAGAATGTTCAGAAATTGACCAAATGTTCCAAAACCGGCCCTAAATTTTCCCAAGTATAAGTATATATACTTATACCAAGTATACCCAAGTACCACTGGTAGTGCCACTGACATGTTTAGTGGTCATGTTCAACTTACAATGTGAAAAGCAAACTCTTGGGGCACCTGACTGGCTCAGTCAGAAGAGTTGCAACTCTCGATGTTGGGGTCATGAGTTCAAATCCCATGTTGAGTGCAGAGATTACTTAAATAAATAATCTTAAAAAAAGATGTGGAAAACAAACTCTTGACACTTCCCCCAAACCTGCTTCCCTCTTAGTCTTCCCCCTATTAGAGAATAGCATTACCATCCTCCTAGCTAGCCAGTCAGGCCAGAAACCTAAGACTCATCCTCAAGTTCTTTTTCCCCCCCGTCACTTCTCTCATCCAGACCATTAGCAAGTCCTCTTTGCCTTTCCTTCACATTATGTTGGAAATCAAACCATTTCTTGGCAGCTTTCTAACTTGTCTCCCTTGCTCCCAATCTCCCAGTCTATTGTCCATAAGCAGACATGTTAAAAAAAAAAAAAGAAAAAGTAATTCCAATGATCTCTCCAGACTTAAAACCTCTCAGTGACTGCCTATTATTAAAATCCAAACTCCTTACCACATCTCATATTAGTATGTATTGAGTGCTTACTGTATGCCAGCTACTGTGTTAGATGCTTTGCATGTGTTAACTGATGTGATCTTCACAACAGCCTAGTGAGATTGGAAATATTATTAACCTCATTTTACAGATCAAGAGTATAACACAGGATGGTTAAATAAGATCCAGGGGCACCCCGGTGACTCAGTCGGTTGAGCAACTGGCTCTTGGTTTCAGCTCAGGTCGTGATCTTAGGGTTGTGAGATCAAGCCCCATGTCAGACTCCCACTTGGGGAGTGGGGGGTGTCTGCTTGAGAGTCTCCCTCTCCCTGCTTGCACGTGCTTTGTCTCTCTCAAATAAATAAATAAATCTTTAATAAATAAATAACATTCAAATCACACAGCTAGTTAGCAGCTAAGCTGGAATTCAAAGCCAAAGAGTCTGACTCCAAAGAATACAGTCTGGCCCCTTTAAACTATCCCAGCCTCATCTTGTCATTTTACTGACTTGGCTTTAGCTACACAAGTCTTTTTGTCCCTCAAGCATATCAAGCTTGTTTTCTCCATAGGACTTTTGCACTCGCTATTTCTCCATCTAGAATGTTCTTTCCTCAGTTGGATGGCCACTGTCATCTCATCATTTAAGTCTCCATTCAGATGTTGTTTTCTCTGAGAGGCCTTCCCTGACCTCTTTAAAATTACTTTCCCACATATTCACAGTCACTCTTTATATTTGTTTCCTTTTTATGTTGTTTTTGTAGAAGTATTTACTCAGTAAATATTTGTTGGATGGATGGATGTTGACTCTTTGTTGAATGTTGTCCAGTAATAGTGATTAAGGGTATGGGCTCTGAAATCAGACTCTTGGGTTCATATCCCAACTCCCTTGTTGAATTGTGTGAAGTTGGGAAAGTTGTTTTCTGCCTCAGTTTCCTCATCTGAAAAATAAAAATAATACTACTACCCTTAAAATTAAATAAGTTAATGGTTAATGCATGGAGCCCAGTGCAGGGCTTTAATTCATGACCCTGAGATCAAGACCTGAGCTGAGATCAAGAATCAAACACTTAGGGATGCCTGGGTGGCTCAATCAGTTAAGTGTCTGCCTTCAGCACAGGTCATGATCCCAGGGTCTTGGGATCGAGTCCCACATCTCCCGGCTTCTCCGTCTGCCGCTCCACCTGTTTGTGCTCTCTCTCTCTGACAAATAAATAAAATCTTAAAAAAAAAAAAAAGAATCAGACACTTAACCAACTGAGCCACCCAAGCACCCCTGCATGTGACTCTCTTAAAACAGGGTGTAGAAGGGGTGCCCGGCTGGCTCAGTCAGTGTAGCATACAACTCTTGATCTCAGGGCTGTGAGTTCAAGCCCTGTGCTGGGTGTAGAGATTACTTTTTTTTAAAAGTGCATAGCATATCAGAACTCAAGACATGTTATTTGTCTTATATTTATTATTTTCAGGTTTTTGCTCTTATTAATAGCATATCAAGGAAGCTCTTTGGAAAATCATATTTTCATGCCCTACTCCAGCTGAATCAGAATCTCTGTGGAAAGGGCCCAGGAATCTTTTTTTTTTTTTGAATATTTTGGCAATGTGATAAACCTCCAAGCTTGGGAACTGTGGCAGTAGAGTTTTAGCATCACTACTCAGGTTCTACATAGACATGTGTGACATCATGACATCATGCATTGCCATCATGCAGTAATTTATAATTTTGCTAAGTTGTAAAGTGAGAGTAAGTCGTTGTGGTGAATGGGTCCAGAAAACTCCCACCCCCCTCCCTGGCATCCCCTTCCTGGTGTAGCCTCATTCTCTTCTCTGTGTCTCTACTAGTAAGCAGTAAAGCTTAGAGTGACTCTAATTTTTATTTCTGCTTGAAAAATCATCCCAAAAAGAAAACTGAGGGGCACCCGGGTGGCTCAGTCAGTTAAGCATCTGCCTTCAGCTCAGGTCATGATTCTGGGGTTCTGGGATCAAGCCCCGAGTCAGGCTCCCTGTTCAGCAGGGGAATCTGCTTCTCCCTCTCCCTCTCCCTCTGCCCCTGCTTGTGCGTGCTCTCTCTCTCTCACTCTCTCTCTCACTCACTCTCAGATAAATAAAAATCTTAAAAAAACTGAGAAGTATGGTGATGCCAGAAAAGATACTTTTTAAAGCGGTGGTTCTTAATCAGAAACCAGAATGGATAGTTTTGATGATTGATACATTAGAGTATGCAATGGCAAATTTGTTGCTTGGTTAGCACCATTCCATAAATACTGTCTACCAGATGCTGTCTGTAAGAACAAAAACTCATGAAACTATTTTGGCAGTTGCACCAACCAAAATGGCAACCAATGCAAAAATTGTAAGATGTCAGGGAAGTTATGTGCCATTGTTATAGTTACAAGTTTGGGTATTAATTTTTTTGTGAATCTCATACTACATAAGACATGATTTCTGCCCTCCTGGAGTTGGAAAGACAAAACCACCGCACACAAAATAGGAACAAATGAAATTAAAGTTCGTAATAAGTGATAGCGAGTGCTGTGAATTTCAGAAAAGAAAATATAAGATGTCAGCTAAGGGGTTCATTGAAACAGTTGTGGCTAGCTAGGACTTACACATGAAATTTTCTTTAGTTGCAGGGCCAGCTCTACCCCCTAATTATAAAAGCAGTAGCTCGGAGTCCTCAGACAGCGATGAGGACAGTAGTTCATTATATGAAGAAGAAAATCAAGAATCTGAAGAAGATGACACCAGTCCAGTGGCAAGGTCAGTCACTTAAATTAAATGATAAACCAAGCTTCAAACCTAGTATACATTGGCTGGAACAGAAGCTAGTCAGAGAACACCGTATCTGTATTTTTACAGCACAAAAAGAAATCCTTTCATATGGTATTGCCTCATGAACTATACTTTTGAGAAAGAAATGTATTCTAGTAGCAGATAGCTGTGGAGATTCCTAGGATTTCAATTAAATTCTTATAAAAAGGATTTTTTCCGAAGGGATTACTGAAGTGACTAAATATTCTAAATAAGCCATAGCATTTCTTTTAAAAATTATTTATGCAGTGGATGGTTTTTGCTTAAGTAAATGAATGATTTCCCTCTAACAATCTTACTTACTATAGGTCCATGAACATAAGAAGTGGAATCTTTGTTTAGTATTGGGTGCAAGATTTTTTTTGATGCATTTTAAAGATTATGAGACAGAAATAGCAACTTAAAACCCTTGCTGAATGAGATTAAAATCAAGAGTCATGAACTTTTTGCTCAAAAACTTTCAGCATGTAGACTGAGGTTCAAAACCTCAGCAAGTGGAATCTTTAATTAACACTGTAGAAAATACAGAAAACTGATAAAGTATTCCTGCTGTAGAGAATCAACCAAAAAATAAATTCCAGGAAAAGGTTAGTACAAGATCTACTGTGGTATCCATTTGTTCTTACTGGGCAAGAGTAATTTATTGTTTCAGTATTTATACAACTAGTTGGGAGTTAGTGCTTCCTTTAAAACTTAAAATTTCTCTATGAAAAAAAATTGCATAAAGTTGCGCTACTGTGTTTTTAGAAAACAGAGGAGAAATCAAGATGACGACGACGACGATGATGATGAAGGGTTTTTTGGACCAGCTCTTCCTCCTGGATTTAAAAAGCAGGATGATTCTCCTCCAAGGTAATAATGTGTGATAGTTCAAGCCTGTCTTTTTAAATATTTCAATTAGTGTTTGTTAATTCACTGAAGAGTTGTCCGAAATTGTTGTTAACTTAGAGATTTATATAACATTTGAAATGCATAGGGAAAAGTAGTTGTTTCCTATAACAAAAATGATTATTTAATTGTAGTTTATAAAAAAACTTCCACATCTCTTAGTTAGTGCTCATAAGAGTGTTTTATAGTAGACTGGAACATTATCCTTCTTCCCCCCTTTTTTTAAATAGATAAGGTTGCACACATAGTTAATATCCTATCTGGCCTGGGGCTGGAATCCTGGTATTTGACTTTAAAATCAGATGCTTTCTTAGTTATTTGGTGACAGAAGAAATAATTCCTGTATGCCACGTTGACTAACTTCCCTGTACCTCAAATTTGCCATCTGAAAAATAGGATAACAACAAGTACCTTTCAAAACTGTTGTGATGATTGAGATTTCATATTTACATACATATACACGTGTGTGTGTATGTCTCTTACGTGATGCCTGGCCCCAAGTAAGTATATAGTAAGTATTGATTCCTATCTTCTTCTCAGAATTAAAAATTTTTAAATGCTGGATATGAAGTTGCACACCAAATTGTTTATACCAGAACACTATTACTAATACGCAAGAGCAAATAGAAAAGTACATTGTACTTTTTACATTCAAACTTTGTAATCACATTCGTCAGCTCCAATTTTCATATTACTTTGGTCCTTTTAGATTAATAGGGATAGACTCTCCACTGATTTTATATGGCCCCCAAGCCAAGAATAATCTTTAAAGGATCATTTAAAGAACAAAGACAGGCATGCCTAAGAGCCCTATAGATGGCCCTCAAAGCCTTAAATGTCCTATTTGGCCTTTTACAGAAAATTTGCTGACCACTGGGGCATAACATTCCTTTCAAGAAAACACATTATTAGATGTACAGCAAATTCTTTCTTGAGAGTTATATTTTGGCTATTAAATGGCCAGGATCAGAACCCAGACCTGCTGACTCTGGGTAGTATTTTTTTCTCTGCCAAGAAGCTTATCTCTGAGGCTCTAGTTGAACACAGTGCAACCTGGAAAATTCAGCTTAGGACTTCAGTGCCATGCTGGTTGGTAATCCTGGCACAGTGACATCTCTGGGAAAAACACTGGTATGAAAGAAAGGATGAAGAAACTGAAAAGCACAAAAGAAAGGAGAAAATATCTTGTCTCTGTTATTTTTTTCCCTGACGTAAGGCTTTCTCTTTTTAAGACCCAGATTTTAGGCACTTCTCCCATCTGGACTGATGTCTGTTCCCTCAAAAATGTGGCAGTGGGGCAGCTTGAAAGAAAATGAACTTTGGCATCAAGGAGACCAGGGTTCAAACTCTAGCTCAGCCACTTACTAATTTGTGATGTCCTTGGGCATGATTTTGCTCACCTAGAAGATGGAGTGACTTATACCAACCAGGGTTGTTTGAAGGAAACAGAAAGGTGCTCTGGTTGACATGTGGTTAGCATAGCACCTTTTCCCTTGTCTGGAGGTCTCACGTGACTTACATTCATTCTTGTAGACCTCCACGTATTTATTAGATCATTAGCGAGGACGATGTTAGATTTTTATACTACCTTGGCACACGTAGCCATAAATTGCCAACATCTGCTGTGTGCATGTGCTGTTTACATTCTTAGAACTCAATTTCTACTTAAGGAGTTCTGACTATAGTTAGATTGCCCCTGAAGAATGTGTCAATGGACAGTGACGATCAAAAGTGAAAGCCAAAGCACAAAATAGAAAAAGATCTTCACAGGCTTTAATTCTTAATAAGGACTTTTAAGAAATTGTTATTTTTCTTTAATGTAGTTATTTTAGGAAGTGGGTATACACCACTGCCACAAAGATTTGAGAATTACTGGTTTAGTATCTTAGCATTGACTAACAAATAGAAAGTAAAAATGATAAAATTAGATTTTTTTAAAGATACAACTAAATGGGAAAATACTAGGTTATAAAATAAAAATAATATGTTAAAGTTCTCATTTTCAACATTTGCTATTATTTGGCTTTATATTTGTGATCTTTGATTCTAAAAACTGCTTTTTTTGAAGTTAGGGAGAATGCTAAAGGTACATTTTATTTTTCAGGCCTATAATAGGTCCTGCACTACCACCTGGTTTTATTAAATCTACACAGAAAAGTGACAAAAGCAGAGATGATCCAGGACAACAAGTATCATCATATTTCAACTCTGAGGTTTGGAAAATTTTTGATTAAAGAATAAGATGTAGCAAACTCAAGATTCTACAGAGTAATGTAATCATTTGGCTCAAATGTAACAAATACGCAGTCCTATTCCCATTAATCTAGGATTGTAAGGTAGATAGATGAAATCAAAAGCTTCTCCCAGAACCGAAATGTTAGAAGAAGAATAAGGCAGTTACATGGTGACAAGGGCGTTACCTAAAGGCCTTACCTTTAGAGGGAAGCTTTAAAGTGCTAGGGAATAGAACATGATGAAAAGTTTAAAGAATCATTGAGTTGATCTGAAAAAGAGAAAGCTGAGGAATTTGTTGACAATGATCTTTGCCTTGAAATCAGCTCTTACCTATACAGCTCTGGTGTCTGTATATAACAAAGCTGGGAGTTAAGTGATTTTATGAAAAGATAGGTCAAATGATATGAGAGTCAAGTATAAAAGCTGTTTTCTTGTCAGAGGCCTAGTTCTTTTTCTTTTTCTTTTTCTTTTTAAGATTTTTATTTATTTACTGAGAGAGAGAATGATAGAGAGAGAGCATGAGAGGGAGGAGGGTCAGAGGGAGAAGCTGACTCCCTGCTGAGCAGGGAGCCCAATGGGGGACTGGATCCTGGGACTCCAGGATCATGACCTGAGCCTAAGGCAGTTGCTTAACCAACTGAGCTACCCAGGCGCCCCTAGGGGCCTAGTCCTTAACAATAGCTGAGAATTATAGAGTCCTTTATAACTTGTAATGCTTTTTCCCTATCTGTGGATGGATATTATTTTTATCTTCTCTTCAACTGTATGCGCTGGATATGATCCGCCATCTTACAGATGCTTAAAAAAAAAAAAAAAAAAAACAGAAATTAGTTAACTTACCCAAGATCCCAAGATTGCAGTTTATACTTATCAAAGCCAAGGCTTAAACCCAGTTCTTTTTTTTAAGATTTATTTTTAAGTAATCTCTACACTCAACTCTGGCTTGAATCCACAACCCCAAAATCAAGAGGCACTCGCTCTACCAACTGAACCAGCCAGGCGCCCCTTAAACTCAGTTCTTTTTTTTTTTTTTTTAAAGATTTTATTTATTTTTTTTAGAGAGCGAGAGAGAAACAGCATGAGAGGGGAGAGGGTCAGAGGGAGAAGCAGGCTCCCCGCTGAGCCGGGAGCCCGATGTGGGACTCGATCCCAGGACCCTGGGATCATGACCTGAGCTGAAGGCAGACGCTTAACCATCTGAGCCACCCAGGCGCCCTTAAACTCAGTTCTTAAGACTTTAGATCACCTGTTCAGTCTATTATTCTACAGTAGCTTCCTGTACATTCATCTCTACTGAGAATTCAGCAGTTACACTGAGGTTGTTACTAAGGAAAATGTAACGCAGTGATTAAGACCATGAACTTCAGAGTCATTTATTCATTACTTCAACAGATATTTATAGAGCACCTACAATGTATCAGGCACATAGTCAAAGAAATGAGTCTGTCAGCAGATCCTGTTGTTTCTACCTTCAAAAGATACCCACAATCCAGCCATTTCTGTGACCACCCTTGTCTAAGTCAATATCATATTTCACCTGTTTTATTGGTCTTGATACTTTAGCCCTTGTTTTTCTGCTACCTCTTCTCAACACAGCAGCTAGAGTGGCTCGGATAAAATGAAGTCAGATCATGTCACTCACACTCAAAACCATCGGATTGCTCCTCCTGTCTGTGCATAAAAGCCAAAGCCCAGGGTGCCTGGCTGGCTCAGTCAGTAGAGCACGCAGCTCTTGATCTCAGGGCCATAAGTTTGAGCCCCACCTTGGGTGTAGGGATTACTTTAAAAAAAAAAAAAAATGAAAAATAAAAAAAGCCCTTACAGGAACCTCTACAACCTAGTCTCCTTTAGCTCCCTGATTTTCTCTCTTACTTTAATCTGACCACACTGTGCTCCTTGCTCTACCTCCTCACATATGCTGGGCAGGCTCCTACCCCTGAGTATTGATGCCTGTAATTCTCTCCAAAATGGTCTTCCCTAGATATCTGTGTGGCTTGCCTACCAGAACTTCAGTTTTGGCTGCAATGTCACCTTAATGAGGTAGTTTCTGACCTCCTAATTCAGAATTGCTAACTCGTCTTCCCCTCACTCCTGTCTCCTTCCCTCCTCTAATTTTCTCCAGAGCATCTATCACCACCTCAGATACCATTTATTTTACTGCTCCTTTTTGTTTATTGTTGACCTCTCCCCCTAGAATATGAGTCCATTGAGGACAGAGATTTTTGTCTTCTCTCTAGTATATATTCAGAAGTGTTTGTTGAATGAATGAATAAGTTAGACATAGTCCCAGCTAATCACACCTGCAGTGTAGTGGGGAATCCAGCCATTAAACAAACATCCAACATTATGAGTGCTTCAGAAGGCAAGACAAAACATAGTGGAAGCATGACAGACGACTTTAAACTAATCTGAAGAAATGAGAAAAAGTCTTTGTCTCTGAGAAAATGTCTAAAGATTGATGAGTTGGAGATATCTCAGCAAAGAGGGCAGGAAAGATTGTTCCAGAAAGTACAGATAGCTTCTTTGAAGGCAAAAGAGTGTGGGGAGGGAGAGTTAGGGTTTAAGAAGTCCAGCGTGGTTAGCGTGGAAAGAAGGAGAAGGCAAGAGCCCCTGGAGCTTCAAATCCTGGGTGAGTTTAGTTTCATGTCAGTATCATGCTGGTTGTTATCCTTATCTTAGAGGGTTGTTGCAAGGATTAAGTCAGAACAGTAGGTATTCAACTTACAGTAGCTCTCATCATTGTCATTATTCTTACCATCTTCACTACTGATGTCATGAGAGTATCTTCGAAAAATTTAGTCTAAGTATAAGGAATCCTTCTAGCAAGGTTGCTAAATACAAGAATAAATTCCCAGAGGAAGTACCTTCAGGCATATGGAAGACTGAGCTGGCAGGTCATGCTCCGGTCTCCCTGCCAAAAACACAAAGAAATGCAGGGGCGAAATAGCAACAAAGTTAATACATAGCAAAGCTCAAAAGAAAGAAAGGGAAGTCTGCAGGTGCTAGTGACATTGAGAGAATTCAAAGCTAGGGCAGGAAACACAGCAGAGGACCAGGGTGGCTTTAGGGAAGCCAGCCATAGCCCTAGAGTTGGGCTTGGGGAACAGAGCTGTAGCTTCAGCTGTGCAGGCAGAGGAGGGGGAATTGAGTCTCTGAATAAAACCCACAGCCTCATAGTTCCACTCTGTCTGCAAAAAGAGTCCTGGAGAAATATAACCTGCGGCCCATCGAAAGTGGGAAGGAAGTTCCATGCTCTCCATAACCTACTCTCAGATGATTCCCAATATGTCTGTCTGTCTGCCTCACACACAGAGGGGCAGGGGAATGGGGAAAGAAAGATAAATATGGTGAAATGTTAGCAGCTGATGAATTTGGGTGAGGATACATGGGTGTTAGTTGTGAACTACATTTTCCAAAAAAATTGTTAAATTGTAGCATAATTCAGCTTTATTCATGCTTGGAATTTTGTCCTAATTCACCTAGACAGCAGGTGGATAGTTTATATAATTCCCTGGTGGTATCTCTTCTATATTTTCTACTTCTCTTAGCAAAAGGTGAGGGGTAAGGGTAGGGCAGGGCTTACACCATTGTATACCTGTTGTACTTGGTTGTACTCTTGGTTCTGAATCATTTACTTTATAATTTCCCTCTAACTAAACCCTTTTCAAAAAAATACTTTTTTTGTTTCATATTTTACTTTTTCAAAGAGGGACTTCTTTTAGTCTCTCATTCACAACATATACCCCTAAATTAAGACACACACAATAATACTAATTGTTAGCATTTGTGGAGCGATTGCCATAAGCCTGACACTGCAAAGCACAACATAAACATATATTTGCATGACTTAATTATATTCCCAGGCCGCATAAACTTAATTTAATCGAAACAGCAATCCTGGGAAATGGTGTGTCAGCCAGAAAGCTTTTAGCAGCAAATAACAGAAAATCCTACTCAAAATGGAACTTTGTCTTAACCTACTTAGTTAGCAAATGGGCTGTTTACGTAATTGCCTGGGTGATCTATAATCTATATTCCCAAAATAAGGAAAATGTGTTTCATATGTAATAAAAGGTATAGAACTAGGGTCATTCTAGGTTGGTTGATTGAACAGCCTAAATGATATCCAGGCCTGCACCTCTTTCTGTCTTTTCTGTCATCTACAGTATGTTAATTCCTCTTAGGGTGACCCTTCGTTATACCAGGAAGCCTGTCAAAGTTCTAAGATTCCCACACACATGCCAATGTCCAGACAGAGGAGGGAATGATCCTACCCTGTGCCCCTTTTGTAGAGGAAGGAACACCTTTCCAGGTTTCCTATAGGCCTCTCCTCAGGTCTCCTCGGCCGGAATTGGATCACATGCCCACGCCTTGGCTAGTCAGTTGGGCAAGAGGAATTCAACCAAATTGATTGGCTCAGAATTACCAACATTTTTCCGCAGGAGTTAGAGAAGTCCCCAGGTTCCTGAGAAAGACATGGCTCCAAAGAGGATGAACAAAACATGGGTTCTCTTAAAAATAGAGGAGTTACAGTTACTGGTTGGAGCTGTTATAATCCCGATCTAAAAGACCAAAAACCAGAACACCTGGGTGGCTCAGTCAGTGAAGCAGCCAGCTCTTGATTTCGGCTCAGGCCATGATCTCAGGGTCCCAGAATCAAGCCCCGCGTCAGGCTCCATGCTCAGCAGGGAGTCTGCTTGAGGATTCTCTCTCCCTCTCCCCCCCCATCTCTCTCTCTCTCAAATAAATAAATCTTAAAATACATAAACAAATAAAAGACAAAAAACCAAGACCTTTACTAAAAAGGCTAAATAGCACGTCCGAAGCCACATGCTAATACGATAGCAAATTGAGGCCTTGAAACTAGTTCTAACTGCAGTCCACAGTATAAGTCAGTAAGATATATAATTTCTACTGTATTTCTGTATAAAATAGCTCACCTTTAAAAAAAAAATTTAATTCGGGGCGCCTGGGTGGCTCGGTTGTTAAGCATCTGCCTTCGGCTCAGGTCACTATCCCAGGGTCCTGGGATCGAGTCCCACATCGGGCTCCCTGCTCAGTGGGGAGCCTGCTTCTCCCTCTCCCACTCCCCCTGCTTGTGTTCCCTCTCTTCCTGTTTCTCTCTCTGTCAAATAAATAAAATCTTCACAAAAAAAAATTTTAACTCAACCAGGACACCAAAATAATTAGATAGCTAGATTGGATTTGGATTATGATCCCAGTTTCTCTTTTTCAGTTTAGTGTGTTGAGCCTGATTTTCATTTTGCTCCCTTAGTTTATAACTCCCAACACTCTGTGATCTCTATTCCTAAAAATTCCACGCATCATCCTACCAAGACGTGCAAGATGTGCCGAATTCTATCTTTATAAAATCATCTCATGTTAGATGGAAGTAAAAACAACATTTGCTTATCCCATCATCTTATGCTTTAATACAATATTAATGTCATGCCTCTCATAGTTGTAAAAGTTCATTGTATCTTTTATATTTCCTCATTTTCTGTCACCAAGTATTATTTTGTAAGGGCTATAAATATGTTTAAGATAATATCTTTGACATCAAAGAGCTTACCTTTGTAGAGATGAGCTATAAACACTTAAGGTTAAACATTAACAGTTGAAGTAAAAAAAAAAATAGAGGGGATTCTCTAGTGTAAGTTGAAAACATACTGTCCTTAATCTTAGAATATTTTCATCTTAAATAACCTTGAACAGGGGCACCTGGGTGGCTCAGTCGTTAAGCGTCTGCCTTTGGCTCAGGTCATGATCTCAGGGTCCTGGGATCAAGCCCCACATCGGGCTCCCTGCTCTGTGGGAAGCCTGCTTCTCCCTCTCCCACTCCCCCTGCCTGTGTTCCCTCTCTTGCTGTGTCTCTCTCTGTCAAATAAATAAATAAAAAATCTTTAAAAAAAAATAATAATAACCTTGAACAAGTTGTTTAACCTTTCTAAATATACTTCTCCAAACCTAAGTTTCCTGGAAAAGAAAATAGGAATAATAATGCCTTTTCACAGTTGTTATAAGGATCAAATGATGCATTGTATACCAAAGTCCATAGTTAGAGAAAGTGGGTGTATGTGTATGTGTGAGTGATTTAGAGTAAGCCAAGAGATAACATGTAGTTATGTAATTATTTGTACCAATAGCAATTGCATTAAGGGTGCAGAGAAGAAACCGCAAATAGAACGTTAACACTGAGTAGCTAGTGGGGAAAATGTAAACAACACAAATGAACTTGATTCTGATAGTTTGAAAAAAGACAAGCAAGAAGCTGCCCATCAGAGCTGGAGGACAAATGTCTTATTGTTGTTTATCTTAACCTGTCTCCTCCTTGAGAACAAGGACTGCTTGAAGCCCTAGAGTATATAGCATTTAACAGTCTTACATACAAACCCTTTATTCAAACGATTGCTTGAGAACAAATTGAATTCACTTATTACAATACTGTTAGGTCTTTAGGATAAAGGGGGTGCTTTGGGAACAAAGTTAACTCGTTTGGGCCAGTATTTGTGGGCTGTTGAAAGCATTTGTATTTCCGTGCACTGTGCTGAGTCATGAAGGCTCATAGAGCTTCCAAGAATGTCTTACTTGTGTGTGTCTTATTCCAAAGAGCTTTTTCTGTACCAGGAATGAAAATGGTTTCAACTTTTGTCATCTCTAACTAACTAGTAATAATTACCTAGACTATTACATTGAGAGGAATTGTGAAGCCACATCTGTGTCCATCAGGAAGAGAACTGAAATAATTTAATGAGGTCTGCTGTGGAAATGGGAGGGTGGAGGCAATCCACATTACGTGTATTTGTCATCTCTGTACTTTAGGAAGTACGAGGAAGTACTGTGTACTTTAGGAAGGCGAGGAAAAAGTCCTCATTGCTCAGTGATTAGCCAGCAGTGCGTTGTTTGCATTTTTGTTTTAGTGTCTCTAGGTAATCAGTTTCGGTGAAATTTTAAGTAATTTAGGATCATTTTCTATAACCTGTGGCTCTGTTCCTGGTTTAAAGGTAATGTCTTATCTCAAAAGGAAACAGATAGCAGTGAAGATGAGGACATTGTTGGACCAATGCCTGCAAAAGGACCAGTTAACTATAGCGTCACGACAGAGTTTGAGAAAAGGGCCCAGCGAATGAAAGAAAAACTGACCAAAGGAGACAATGTAAGTTTTAAAGAGACTATACTCTGAGAGCTAAGCTAAATGGATTAAAAATCTAAATTTTAAAAATAGACATGAAAGAAAGTATATGCACGAATGTATATAAAGAAAATTTAGGAGCAAGGTAACCCAGAAGCTGGAAAAGGAAAAGACTGGCAGATTTGCCTATCTAAAAATTTCTGTATGGCAAAACATAACAGAGTCAAAAAAATAATAAATTAGATGAAGGTATTTGTAACATATATGACAAAATATCAATCCTTTATATTAAATTCTTTCTCTTAAAGTGTATTTTTTAACCTTAAAGCCTCAACTGAGAAACATGGCCACTTATAGAATATTTTACACACACACACACACACACACACACCAGAGTCCAGGCTACCGATTTTTTTATCTTTTTTCTGGCTTTTTATTTCTCCTAAAGGATTCATCTAAACCAATGACAAGAGAATCATGGATGACTGAGCTTCCTCCAGAAATGAAAGACTTTGGTCTTGGGCCCAGAACTTTTAAGAGAAGAGCCGATGACAGATCTGGAGATCGATCAGTCTGGACAGACACCCCAGCAGACAGGGAGAAGCAAGCCAAGGTGAGAGGGTTTGTTTGTTCATGTATTTCTGCCCATGTCCGCTCTATTTTGAAAGGAGATAAAGCATAATTATTTCAGGGTACTATTTTTAAAATTATGATTCCAAAGGGAAAATATAGATTTCCCCCTGAAAGAAAATAACGGAAGTGACACCAGTTGCTTACTATGTCCCAGTGAACTGTCTCATTTAAATCTCAAGAAAACCCAGAGACATGGACTTACTGACTTCATTTTCTAGAGGGAGAAACTAACTTTTATGAGGTCAACTTTTCTGGAATTAGAGGACTGGTAAGTAATGAACAAGAATTCTATTCTAGACCTTTCTGTAACAGCAGAGGAGGCCACAAAAGAGGAGATGTGGAAGTGAGCTGCACACTTCGGATGACTCGTGTTGGAGTGCCTGTCTACTCTTTCTTAACTGGTGTTTTATAAAAATAACATACTGGCATTTTTATAAGTTAGCCTTTAAGATTGTTTCAAAAAAGACATTCCCTTGTTTACGTGGATCTAATCATGCCTACATTTAGTTGTGCTTTTCTCTGTCCTTCTGTTCCTCATTACAGGAAAATAGATGTCTAGCCTACAGCCAGATATGCAGGGAGTCTTCTTCAGAGGACAGTATCACAGAAAATGGAGCAAATGGAAATTAGACAACACAGTGATTTTAGGCCCTGTGTTTTAGTTCTTTCGATCCTTTTCAGTACGGAAAGTGTTTTGCTCAGTTTTATAGTGAACTCATAAAGGGATTATTAATACTCCTTAAATTTTATGCTATACTGTGTTAAGCATATAGTACCACAGACTTTATTTGTGGCATAAACTATATAGTATCAGTATCAGAGAGCTATTCATTTTTGAGGTAGTCCCAGTAGTTTATTTTTTATTTTGTTTCCCTTGCCTCAGGAGACATACCTAGAAGACGTTGCTAAGGCCAATGTCAAAGAAGTTACTACTTGTGTTCTCTTCTAGGATTTTTATGGTTTCAGGCCTCACATTTAGGTCTTGAATCCATTTTGATTTTATTTTTGTGTGTGGTGTGAGAAAGTGGTCCAGTTTCATTCTTTTGCATGTTGTTGTCCGGTTTTCCCAACACCATTTGTTGAAGAAACGTTCTTTTTCCCAGTGGATATTCTTTCCCTGCTTTGTTGAAGATTAATTGACCATATACTTGTGGGTTCACTTCTGGGCTCTCTATTCTGTTCAGTTGATCTATGTATCTATTTTTGTGCCAGTACCATACTGTTTTGATAACTACAGCTTTTAATAGAGCTTGAAGTCCAGAATTGTGATGTCTCCAGCTTTTTCTGCTTTGAGGTTGCTTTGGCTATTTGGGGTCTTTTGTGGTTCCATACAAATTTTAGGATTACTGGTTCTAGCACTGTGAAAAATGCTGTTGGTATTTTGATAAGGGTTGCATTAAATGTGTAGATTGCTTTGGGTAGTATGAACATTTTAATAATATTTGTTACTCCAGCCCATGAGCCTGGAATGTCTTTCTGTTTCTTTGTGTCATCTTGAATTTCTTTCATCAATGTTTTATAGTTTCCAGAGTACTTTAGTTAGGTTTATTAGTAGGTATCTTACTGGTTTTGGTACAGTTGTAAATGGAATTGATTCCTTAATTTCTCTTTCTTTTGCTTCATTATTGGTGTATAAAAATGCAACAGATTCCTGTACATTGATTTTTGTTCTATGTGACTTTACTGAATTCATTTATCAGTTCAGCAGTGTTTTGGTAGAGTCTTTTGGGTTTTCTATATAGAGTATCATGTCGTCTGCAAATAGTGGAAGTTTCACTTCTTCCTTGCCAATTTGGATGCCTTTTATTTCTTTTTGTTGTCTGCTTCCTATGGCTGGGACTTCCAGTAGTATGTTAAATAAAAGTGGTGAGAGTGGACATCCCTGTGGTGTTCCTGACTTTAGAGGAACAGCTCTCAGTTTTTCCCCATTTCGGATGATCTTAGCTGTGGTTTTTTTCATATATGGCCTTTATTATGTTGAGGTTATGTTCCCTTTAAAGCTACTTTTTTGAGGATTTTTATCATGAATGGATGTTGTACTTTGTCAAATGCTTTTTCTGCATCTATTGAAATGATCATATGGTTCTTATCCTTTCTTTTATTAATGTCTTGTCTCACATTGATTGATTTGCAATATTGAACCACCCTTGCAACCCAGGAATAAATCCCACTTGATCATAGTGAGTGATTTTTTTAACGTATTGTTTGATTTGGTTTACTAGTATTTTATTGAGAATTTCTACATCTATGTTCACCAGGGATATTGGCCTGTAGTTCTCACCTTTTTTTATTTTTTAACTTATTTTAAGTAGGCTTCATGCCCAGCGCAGAGCCCAGTGCAGGGCTTTGAACTCACGACCCTGAGATCAAGACCTGAACTGAAATCAAGTGTTGGATGTTTAACTGACTGAGCCACCCAGGCACCCCTGTACCATCTCTTTTTTAGTGGTATCTTTATCTGGTTTTAGTATTAGGGTAATGCCGGCCTCATAGAATGAATTTGAAAGTTTTTTTCCTATTTTTTTGAGAATAGGTCTTAGCTCTTCTTTAAATGTTTGGTAGAATTCTCTGTGAAACCATCTACCTGGCCCTGAACTTTTGTTTGTTGGGAGTTTCTGATTACTGATCGAATTTCTTTGCTGGTTATCAGTCTGTTCATCTTTTCTATTTCTTTCTGCTTCGGTTTTAGTATTTTATATGTTTCTAGGAATTTATCCATTTCTTCTAGATTGTCTACATTTGTTGGCATATAGTTTTTCATAATATTCTCTTATGATTGTTTATATTTCTGGGGTGTTGGTTGTTATTTCTCCTCTCATGATTTTATTTATTTGGGTCCTTCCTGTTTTCTTTTGATAAGTGTGGCTAGAGGTTTATTAATTTTATTAAATTTTTTTTTTTTCTGAAGAACTAGCTCCTGGTTTCATTGATCTGTTCTACTATTTTTTAGTTTCTGTCATTTATTTCTGCTCTAATCTTTACTATTCCTGCTAGCTTTAGGCTTCATTTTTTGTTCTTTTTCTAGCTCCTTTAGGTGTAAGATTAGGTTATTTGAGATTTTTCTTGCTTCTTGAGGTAGACCTGTATTGCTAGACACTTCCCTATGAGGACTGTTTTTGCTTCATTCCAAAGGTTTTGGACCATTGTGTTTTCATTTGCATTTATTTCCATGTATTTTTTTTCTTCTACTCATCTTTCTTTTTTAATATTTGACTTCCCAGCATAATCTCCCATGCTACTAAGTTCTCACATTCACTTAGCCAACATGGCCTAAAAGAAGTAAGATTGCTCTTTAGAAAAAAATGGAAGTGTTCGATATAAATTGACTGACATCTATCATGTCCTCACCTCCCAGTCTTGACTAGATTAACTCTTAATATTAAATGGTCAGGGCGCCTGGGTGGCTCAGTTGGTTAAGCGACTGCCTTCGGCTCAGGTCATGATCCTGGAGTCCCGGGATCAAGTCCCACATCAGGTTCCCTGCTCAGCAGGGAGTCTGCTTCTCCCTCTGACCCTCCTCCCTCTCATGCTCTCTGTCTCTCATTCTCTCTCTCGCAAATTAAAAAAAAAAAAAAAAAAATTAATATTAAATGGTCAGGTTTTTATCTCTATCTTACCATAACATTATTTTTTCCTTAAGATTTGTAAATGAAAGCATCTGTTTTCTAGGAAAATTTTTATGAGAAAATAAGAGCTGAGCTATTCCTGCGTTTTTAACAGTACTTTATTAAAGACAGCATTGTTTTGTATAATTTTTTTTAAGTAGGCTCCACGCCCAATATGGGGCTTGAACTCACAACCCTGAGATTGAGAGTCACGTGCTCTACTGACTGAGCGAGCCAGGCACCCCTGTTTTGTACATTATTAAGATAAAAATTGTACATGACCTCCTTGGTTTTCTTAAGCAGATAACAACAGTATAAAAATATGCTTTGAGGGTGCCTGGGTGGCTCAGTTGGTTAAGCGACTGCCTTCGGCTCAGGTCATGATCCTGGAGTCCCGGGATCGAGTCCCGCATCGGGCTCCCTGCTCAGCAGGGGGTCTGCTTCTCCCTCTGCCCTCTTCCCTCTCGTGCTCTCTGTCTCTCATTCTCTCTCTCTCAAATAAATAAAATAAAATCTAAAAAAAAAAAAAAAAAAAAAGCTTTGATATTTGTTGGAAATTTACCTCAGTACTTCATCTTGTATATGCACTATTGTTAATTTTTTAAGTTCAAATTCCAGTTGTTCATTGCCAGTATATTTTGTATATTTACCTTGTGTCCTGCAGCTTTGTTATAGGTGTACTTGCTTATTAGTTCCAGGAGTATTTTTGTAGATGCTTTGGAGTTTTCTATATAAACAATCATGTCATCTGTGAATAAAGATAGTTTTATTATTTTTTTTCCAAACTTTTTAAACCTTTTCTCTTTATTTTTTCCCTTAAAAGTGATTTTACTAGTTTTAAAAACAGATAATGTAGGATTTCTTTTTTTTTTTTTTATTTAAGATTTTATTTTTAAGTAATCTCTGTACCCACCGTGGGGCTCAAACTTAAAACCCCAAAATCAAGAGTCACATGCTCTACTGACTGAACCAGCTAGCCACCCCTGTAAGATTTCTTTTAAAGCCTAATTTTCTCTCCTACATTTCATCATTGTTTGTCATACTCCTTTGTGAGTTTGATAAGTAAGTGATTTCTTCCAGTTAGTTGATTGTATAGGTTTTTTTCTTGTTTTCAAGAAAATCATGAAGTAAAACACGAACGGATCCCTTATCAACTATATGTATATATATTCTTAGTGGGAAAAGATTCAACAATCTTAGTTTAGTCTCTTATTACTCAGTATGAGTAAAAATAATAGTATTTCTTTTTTAGTTTTTCTTAACTATATGGTTCAGTAATGTGTTACCTATGTTCATTTTCAGGAAACACAAGAAGCAAAGAAGTCATTCAATAAGAAGGATGAAGAACATATACTGTCAGGAAGGGAAAAGAGATTGGCTGAGCAGATATCCTCATACAATGTAAGTAAGAATAAAATATATAAGCTTTTCTTTTTTTTAACAGAGTGGTCATAAGTTTTGTTGTTGTTTTTTAAAGATTTATTTATTAGAGAGAGAGCATGCATGATGGGGGGAGGGGCAGAGAGAGAGGGAGAGAGAGAATCCCAAGCAGACCCCGCACTGAGTGCGGAGCCCAACTTGGGCCTCGATCCCACAACCCTGAGATCACAATCTAAGCCAAAACCAAGAGTCAGATACTTAACCGACTGTGCCACCCAGGAGCCCGTAAGCTTTTTTTTTTCCCTACAGTATTCTTCCCATATTTTTTCTCTTTCTTTTATATGTTTTCCTTTTTACCTCAGTTTTTTTCTGTACATCTGCCCTGAGAAATATTCCACTCTGTTGTGTTATATATATTTATATAAAACCCTTTTTATAGGATTTATATTCATGTAATCTTTTCAGTTTGTATTTTATTTACTTCAGTCATAAATTAGAAATTTAATTTGTAGAGATTAGTAACAGATGATCAGAAAGCAAGAGCCCTGGTCTTGCAGCCATGTACTTCCCCCCCCCACCCCCCCCCAAGCTGCCTGCACCGCCCGGCCATGGTCAGTCCCACCACTTTCTCTGAGGTTGTGGTGGACGGGGAGCCCTCAGGCCACATCACCTTCAAGCTGTTTGCAGATCAAGTTCCAAAGAGACTGCAGAGAACTTTCGTGCTCTGAGCGCTGGGGAGAAAGGATTTGGTGATAAAGGTGCCCGCTTTCGCAGGATCATTCCGGCACTTACATGCCAGGCTGGGGACTTCACATGCCGTACTGGCACTGGCGGCCGGTCCATCCATGAGGAGAAATTGGCGATGAGAATTTCATCCTGAAGAACACGGGTCCTGGCATCTTGTCCATGGCAGAGGCTGGACCCCACACAAACACCTCCCAGGTTTTCATCGGCACTGCCAACACTGAGTAGTTGGATGGCAGGCCGGTGGTCTCGGGCAAGGTGAGAGAGGGCAGGAATTCTGTGCAAGCCGTGGAGCAGTTTGGGCCCAGGAACGGCAAGACCAGCAAGATCACTAAGATCACTATTGCTGACTGTAGACAAATCTAATAAATTTGACTTGTATTTTACCTTAACTACCACACCATTCCTTCTGTAGCTCAAGAGAGCCCCGTTTCACTCGATCTGCTTGAAATATCCAGTAATCTTTGTGCTCTTGCTGCAGTGCTATGGGTTCCATGTTTTCCTTGCTCCCCTCCCAAGTCCAGCTGGATTGCAGAGTTAAGTTTATGATTATGGCATAAAAACTAAACAACAGCAACAAAAGAAAGCAAGAGCCCTACTAACTCCTAGAGATCCTCAGTTCATATTTTAAATTATAAGCAGATTTGGAATGTTCAATGTGAGGATTTAAATATGGGACAAAAATGGTTTTTAAGATACAGTTCAGTCTAAATTTATAAACAGTATTCATTTGACATTTTGTTATTTCATTATATGCTCTTGCATTAAAAAAACAAAAACTGATGAGTGGTCCAGCTAAATGTAAATCACTAAACCCTTTGGCCCCTGCAGTGTTCAGGTGTTTAAGGAAAATTACCTCTGTTCCCAATGTATTAGTTAATGAAAAGTTCCATAAGCATTAAAAATATAATTAGCATGATTAATTGGACATATGTAGACCAGTACACAAACAGTGAAGCATACATGAAACATTTTTTGAAACTGACCAAAACTCAAACCACAGTGGAACATTTATGAAAACTGACCAGCTTAAGAGTCAAATCTCAACACAACTGAAAGAATTACTGTCATTAAAACCATGTTCTCTGACCACAAGGAATTTAAGTTAAAATTCAGAAGAATTTAAAAGCCTTGTACAACTGGAAATTAGAAAAATTCAGAATTTAAATTTTCCATGAAAGACAACATGATAATGGAAGTTAGAAAATACGTAGATGTGAATAACACAAAAATACCAAATATCAAAAATATGTGCACTGCACTATCAGGTGGTACTTAGAGGCAAAATTATAGCTCTAGTGAGTTCTGTTAGAAAAGAAGAGCTAAAAATCAATAAGCTGGGCCTTTTTCCAAATAGGCATTTCCTATAGTAAACATATATCTACCCCGTGACCCTACAGTTTCATCCTTGGGCATCTATCTACTTAAAGCAAATGAAAACCTGTCCACACAAAGACTTGAATATGCTTTATTTTTAATGTTCTCAAAAAGACTTCTACAAGAAACTCTACCTCGGGATGCCTGGGTGGCTCAGTCAGTTAAGCGTCTGCCTTCAGCTCAGGTCATGATCCCGGGGTCCTGGGATCGAGTCCCGCATCAGGCTCCCTGCTCTGCGGGAAGCCTGCTTCTCCCTCTCCCTCTGCCTGCCACTCCCCCTGCTTGTGCTCTCTCTCTCTCTCTGTGTCTCTGACAAATAAATAAAATCTTAAAAAAAAAAAAAGGAAACTATCTCTGAAACTAATAATACACTATATGTTAATTAACTGAATTTAAATTAACAAAAAAGATTTGCACATTGGAAAAAAGACTTCTACAAGAATGTTCATTGAAGCTTTATTCATATTAGCAACATTCTGTGGACAGCTCAGATGTTCATCAGTAAGAGAAAGAAAAACTGAATACAGTGAAATACTACTCAGCAATAAAAAGGAACAGGGCGCCTGGGTGGCTCAGTCGGTTAAGCGACTGCCTTCGGCTCAGGTCATGATCCTGGAGTCCCGGTATCGAGCCCCACATCGGGCTCCCTGCTCTGCGGGAAGCCTGCTTCTCCCTCTCCCCCTCCCCCTGCTTGTGTTCCCTCTCTCGCTGTGTCTCTCTCTGTCAAATAAATAAATAAATCTTTAAAAAAAAAAAAAAAAGGAACAAATTACAAATAAATGGAACAACTTGGATGAGTCTCAAAGTCATTATACTGAGTACAAGGAAGTATGTACAAGGAAATACATACTGCACTGCACCATTCCATTTATGTGATGCTCTACATTAAGCAGAATGAGTCTGTGGTTGAAAAAAATCAGAATACTGGCTGTTGGAGGGGGGTGTGGGCATTGACCAGGAAGGGGCAAAGTGTTCTCAGTGATAGAAATGTTCCAGATTTTGATAAGATTTTGTATTATAAAACTCAGTGAATGTAACAGTTAAGATTTGTGCATTTCATTATATGTAAATTTACCTTAAAGGAAAAAATTATGAATAAATATTGAATTCTAGCTAATGAAATGAAGGCTGAAGTACTTAGGGATATGTGTAATGATGTCTGCAGTTTACTTTTAAATGCATCAAAGGGTGCCTGGGTGGTGCAGTCAGTTAAGCATCCAACTCTTGATTTCGGCTTAGGTCTGGTCTCAGGGTCCTGAGATCAAGCCCCAAGTTGGGTTCTGTGCTGGGCATAGAGCCTGTTTAAGATTCTCTCTTTGCCCCTCCCCCAGCTCCCCTCGCACACTCTGTCTCGCTCTCTCTAAAATAAAATAAAATAAATTTTAAAAATATGCCAAAAAGATTAGAGTTATAATCTTATGCTGAAATTTTATTCACAAGATTTACTTTTCAAAATAGTAATAGTCTTAAAAACTACCGTCTAACTCTTGGTTTGGATTAATCAAACACTCTTTAAAGTATTAAGACATTAAGACATGAAGACAAAAAAAAACCAAAGAACTAGACTCTTAGCATGAATTTTCAAAAGCAGCTAAAAAATTATCTCATTCTAAATAAATTGCACTGGCTTTTATAAATTGTTATAAAACACACATTTTGTTAAATGATTAAATTTGGTAAATCAGAAATTGGCCATTTAGCAAATTACTCTGTACATGAATTGTCCTCAGGGTGATTTTTAGTGAACTGTTTCTGGTTGTTTTCGTTATTTTTTTTATAGCTCCAGCATTGGTTTGGTCATGGGTGTCACAATGTGCAAATTATGCAGAAACAGTATCCCTGAAGCTGCAGGAAGAACAGTTCATTTATCATAACAAATTTGAGCACTTGAATTGTTGGAATTGATTGTAGTAGTCCAGTGGTTTAATGTATTCCTCTTTTTATTGATGTTTAGTTTACTAATATAGGGGATCAGTAAATTGAAACCTGCTATCTTTATTTCTCCATTTTTGTTTGCTTTTGTTACCTTTTGTACAGTACGTTTGTTTGTTTGTTTTTAAGAGAGGGATGGGGGAGCAGAGGGAGAGGAAGAGCAAGTTGACTGGGGGCTTGATCTCACGACCCTGAAATCATGACCTGAGCTGAAATCAAGAGTCAGACACTTAACTGACTACACCACCCAGGCGCCCCCATCCTTTTGTGCAGTTTTGATCATCAGTATCAATCCTGTTCCTCTAGGTGAAGTAGGGCCTCTACGGCTTCATTCTTTCTCACATCTCCTCCAAACCTTGTTCTCTGTTTTCTCTAGCACCTTCTTAGATCCTCACGCCTTTCCCCTTCCAATTCTTGATAGCCTGTCTACCTTCATCCTTATTACCCCATTAATGAGGTATTTTCTCATTCATGAGAAAGGGAGGGAAAATGTGGAGAAATGATGCTAAAAGATTAAGGTTTTCTAGTATGGCTTTCTTACATTTATACATTCATATATAATTCTGTTACATTATAGTTCCTCCATCATACAATTAACCCTGCTCTTCATGTCCTTTGTGTTGCTTTCCCTCTCCTCTCTATTAATAGCCAGTCACCAGAAAGAATGATCTACATAGCAGGTTCCACATCTGGTGGGTCACCTGTCTGAGAACCTGGGTGATTTTTAAAAGCACGGGTTTCTGAGACTCACAGTTGGCAATTTAGATTGATGAAATCTACAATGGGGCTCAGGAATCTATTTCTTTTCAGTCAGTCAGGAGTGGAGACCAGCAGTCTTCAGGTGTTTTTGCTTGGTAACCGCTAAAAGAAACCTTTATCCTTCACATCTAAAAATTTTTATTGTAAGTTTCAATAGTTACCAAGAATGTATTTTATAGGGCATTACTCTGTTAAATGTTTCAAATGGAATCCAAGTGCCATAACAATTCAATATCAGTTATTATCCATTAAAAATATACATGAACAAGGGTGCCTGGGTGGCTCAGTTGGTTAAGCGACTGCCTTCGGCTCAGGTCATGATCCTGGAGTCCCAGGATCGAGTCCCACATCGGGCTCCCTGCTCGGCAGGGAGTCTGCCTCTCCCTCTGACCCTCCTCTCTCTCATTCTCTCTCTCTCAAATAAATAAATAAAATCTTTAAAATATATATATATATATACGTGAACAAGCACTTTCATAACATTTGGAAATTTTATTTCATCCCTTTTTCTCCTTGAATTCATAATTTTATTTCTCTTCTGCCACAGAATTTTATCATAATGAAAGTCTCTTACGCTTGAAAATCTTTTATGATTATATTGACAAGTGTCTCTCCCTCTCCTTCTGCCCCTCCCCACCTCACGCTCGCTCACTCTTTAAAATAAATAAATAAATCTTTTTAAAAAAAAAAAAAGAATTGGAGGGGCGCCTCTGTGGCTCAGTCGTTGGGCATCTGCCTTCAGCTCAGGTCATGATCCCAGGGTCCTGGGATTGAGCCCCGCATCAGGCTCCCTGCTCAGCGGGAAGCCTGCTTCTCCCTCTCCCACTCCCCCTGCTTGTGTTCCCTCTCTCACTGTGTTTCTCTCTGTCTAATAAATAAATAAAATCTTTAAAAAAAAAAAAAAAGAATTGGAAAGCACTTGACTTGCAAATCAATTTGTTTCTAAAAGATTTTACCAAGATTTATGAAATGAATGAGAGGGATTAGGAAAATGGAAGTAGTGGTAATTCAAATACATACCTAACTAATATAGTATCTTTTTTTTTTAAGATTAAAAAAAATTTTTTTTTTTTGCCAGAGAGAGAGCTTGGGGGGGAGAGAGAGAGCAAGAGTAAAAAGCAGGAGGAGTGGCAGGCAGAGGGAGAAGCAGGCTTCCCATGGAGCAGGGAGCCCAATGTAGGGCTTGATCCCAGGGCCCTGGGATAATGACCTGAGCTGAAGGCAGACCCTCAACCGACTGAGCCACCCAGGCATCCCAACATAGTATCTTTTGTACATTCTGCTAAACCCCATAGCTCCAGATTGAGCTTATTCAGTTGATTGAGAATAACTACCATATAACCTAATTGACAAAGTCGGTTCTGGTTGTCAGATCAGCCAAAGTAAGACTTACTTTCTGTCAGAAAATCTCGCTTCGTTTTTCCATTCAGATAGATGTGTTGATGATTATTCCAGTGACACTTCTGAATTCTAAAGTAGAGAGGTAGGCATGATAGTTTGTCTCTTGGATGAAATAGGATGCTACATTTTCAGCATTTCTTACCAGTGCCTTCTTATGTTGCTTTCACTAAGCTCTCTTTAACTTCTTTGCTCTCAAACACATTCATTAACAGGGTAGGGCCTGGAAGTGATGTGGTTGCTAAGCAAAAATGACCCTTTCTTCCACTGCCCTTCTATTCAGTCTGAGCACAGAACATTCGAACAAAAACCAAACACCAATTTCTGAGGGATACCACACACTTAGGAGAAATATGTATGGGCGCCTGGGTGGCTCAGTTGGTTAAGCGACTGCCTTCGGCTCAGGTCATGATCCTGGAGTCCCGAGGTTGAGTCCCGCCTCAGGCTCCCCGCTCAGCAGGGAGTCTGCTTCTCCCTCTGACCCTCTTCCCTCTCGTGCTCTCTCTCATTCTCTCTCTCTCAAATAAATAAATAAAATCTTTAAAAAAAAAAAAAGGAGAAATATGTTTAAGATACAGAACAGGGTGCCTGGGTGGCTCAGTCAGTTAAGCATCTGACTTGATTTCCCCTGAGGTCACACTCTCTGGGTTGTGAAATCAAGCCCCACTTCATGCTCCCCAGTAAGTGGGGAGTCTACCTGAGATTCTCTCCCTCTGCTCAGGCTCGCTCTCTCTCCCTTTCTGTCTCTCTAAATAAGTCTTTTTTTAAAAAAAGATCCTCTGCCCCCCCCCCTCCTACTCTCTAAATAAATGTCTTTTAAAAAAAAAAAGACATAGAAGAATACAAAGCCTCCCTGGGTTTACAGTACCTCAGTTAGAGGAAGTTTCCTCTTGCCAGTATTTCACATTTTTGTTTGAAACCATGGAGACTTGGTCTCCTGGGCAGTATTCTTACAGTAAGGATCTGAGAGGCCTCTCCTTTGTGAAGTGGTAAAGGGCTAAAATAAAAGGGGAGAGATCAAGATAACAAGATGCCTTATGGAGCAAATCAATTTTAAGTGAGGGTACATGAAGAAGTTGAGCATTGTGGGTGGATAACCTTAAAATTATCCACGCCTCCATACCACATGGACCCCACTCTCTGTAGCCCGCAGGCCCACGTCTGCCCACCTCTGAAGGCTGCCGGTCTGTACTGCCTGGAACCACTGCTGCATTCCACTCCCTGCTCCTTTAACTCAGGGCCATTCTTTCTTGTACTTGAATCAATACTGGAAGGTCTAGAATGACTCTCTAGTTGATGAAACCAATGGCCTTTGCTCAGACCTCATCCTACTAGGTATATTTGAAACCGTGAGCACCTGTCCCAACTAAGAAGAAAGAAAATGAGGGATGTAGGAGAAAACAGAAAACTGAAAGGAACAAAAATCTCTTAGCTTATGGAATATGCCAGTATATCCTGAGCGGGCCGTGAATTTTGTCACTCCTGTGCCATTATTTTTTGCATTTGCCCTTGTTTCTGCTTCAGCCTAGCCATGCCCTTTCCTTCCTATCCGCCTGTTCAGGCTTCGCAGACCAGCACATCCATGACACTTTACCCAGGCTCCTCGGTGACAATGTAATTGCTCTTCCTTCTCACCCATGTTCTTGGCTTGGACTCTAATTATGACACACCACACATGGTTATTTCAAAGTTTATTTCCTCTCTGTCTTGCTTTTTTTTTATTACTATTATATAATAATGGTAGTTAGTAGATGTCTTCATTTTGGTTGAATTGAATTTCCCTCTGATACAGATCTTCTTCATAGATCCTGTCTTGGATTTGGCAAAACCTGACAGGGTTTGTAAAAAGCCCTCCTTAATGTTCATCATTACTGCTTAATCATTTTGCTTCATGATCATATTCTGTCCATAATCTATACAAAGAAAGATTTTCATTTCTACTCTCTTGCTTTCCCCCAGGAATCAAAAAGATCAGAATCTCTTATGGACATTCATCATAAAAAATTAAAGAATAAGGCTGCTGAAGAGAAAAATAATCCCCAAGAAAGAATACCATTTGACCGTGATAAAGATCTCAAGGTTAATCGGTTTGACGAAGCTCAGAAAAAAGCTCTGATCAAGAAATCTAGAGAACTAAACACCAGATTTTCCCATGGCAAAGGCAGTATGTTTTTATAAGTAAGTATTTCAGTGAGGTATACTTTCAAACTGATAAATTTAAACTCTTCTGAGTGCTCTGTTATCCATAAATAATTGTGTGTAAAAATCTATTTCCTTTTATAATAAAGTAGATTATAAACCTGAAAATCTTTTTTGATAAGTCAACCATGATTTTTTTTGAATATTCAGCCCTGGTGGGATAAAAAATGTAGTTTTACCAGAAGAGTAGCTTTTGTCTTCAGGCATTGCCATTAAGGACACTAAAAGTAAAGTTTAGTTTATAAGAAATGGCAAAGGAAAGAGTGGTTTGAAGCTTGGGTAAATATGCAAGCTTTCGTAAAGAACAGAGAAAGGAGATGTGTTTATAATCCGTGTGTTAAACAAGATCACAGCTAGAAAACGTTCATTGTTTTGAAAGCCTCTCTATAAATTAAGGTTCAAAATCCTTATATCCTTCATCCACAGCTCAATCTAACAAGGGTTCGTAAAGGTGAGTAAGGAATTACTTAAGAGCTAAGGTTGCTTCTTAAAATCTTTATCATTTTTAACTGTATGAAACCTACATCAATATTAAAATGTGGCTTTAAAGGAAAATACAGAGGTACCTGGTTAGTTCGGTCGGTGGAGCATGCGACTTTTGATCTCGGGATTGTGAGTTCAAGCCCCATGTTGGGTGTAGAGATTACTTAAAAATAAAATCTAAAAAAATTAAAAGGAAAATACAGTTAAAGTTAGAAATATTTTCCAACTTACTGAACTTTCTTATTCTTCAGGGGGATTTCCCTGTGCAATGAAGAAAAGTTGAAGAATACTCTTTTTATCTGTCTATCTATCTTTATCCCTTTGTTTTGAGTTCCTTAAGATTAGAGGTGACTTTAGTCTTAAAAAGCATACAAACTTACCTTGTGCTGTACGTCCTGTAAGTCCTGTGAAAACCTAAAGTCAGTATTTCTTATGTGGAATAGAATTTTATGTGTCTTTGGCTTCTGAGGAAGTGTGGGCTTTTCTTCAAATAATTATTTGGAGGACCCATCTATTCCTTAATTTCTGTGGTGTCTCACAAGTATCCTATAAGATCTGGTCAGGACTATCCACTGAATCTCCACCAGAGCTTAGACCTCCTCATCAAATATTACTTGCCTGCCCTGGAGTAAGTGTGTCAGGTCCTTGTAGTCAATCCATGAATTTGAAATTGTTTGGGTTTCCCTCTAAACTGCAGCCTCTGAATACACATTTACGAATAGAGGGCTTGGAGGTTTCATCTGTTTTGTTCACATTTTGCTTGTTTGGACAATCAGGGCTTTTTATTTGTTGCTTGGGCTTTTGTTTTGGTTGGTTGGTTGGTTGGTTTTTAAGTCAGAAAGAAGGGCCTCTGCATTATCTCATGTGCTAAGGAAAAACTATTTTGATTTTTCCAACTTTAATAAGTATTTCTAGGGGAGGCAATCTGAGGGACAAAATATGCCATGAAGGGGCGCCTGGGTGGCTGAGTCGTTAAGTGGCTGCCTTCAGCTCGGGTCATGATCCCAGGGTCCTGGGATCAAGCCCCTCATCGGGCTCCCTGCTCAGCAGGAAGCCTGCTTCTCCCTCTCCCACTCCCCCTGCTTGTGTTCCCTCTCCCACTATGTCTCTCTCTGTCAAATAAATAAATAAAATCTTTTTTAAAAAAATATGCCATTAAGCATTAGCAGTGTGAAGTCTAAGACTTGGTCTCCATGGTCTCAGCCAAAGCTCTCTAAGTCTTTAAACTTTGCTGTGCAATGATCTTATTTTACCCATTTATATTTAACAGATTTTAGCTCATTTATTGGGGACTGATCTTTTATATCAGTCATGAATAGTCTTTTAAAAAAATCAAGTTCATAATCCCTGAATACAAAAATATAAATGGAAACTCTAATCATAACCACCCTAATGAGAGTATGTAAGTTTGTAATGCTTGAGGTAGTCTATAAGATGTTAAATAGAACATTCTAAACAGTTAAAGCCTAAATTCGAATTCTCTAAGTTATGTTTTCTTACAGAGCCATCCTAACTGTTCACTAGTTCTATGTTGTAGTTTTGATAAAGCATGAGAGGTTTTGTTTTTTGTTTTCTGTGGGGAAAAAAGAACACAAAATGAGAGACTAGGTGGAAAGTGTGAGGTTTTAATGGAAAAACGTTCTGACTCCTAGTTCATTTAGGCTTTATGACAATTGAGTGAACTGTTCAAATTATGGCACAAATTATTCTTTGCTTTTATGATACCAGCATAAACAGTAGCCTACTCAAGGAGCGTAGCTATTAAAAAGATGAATTATTCTCCTAAGCAAACTGAAAAAGCTTCTTGTCTAAGCAAAATTGAACAGAACCACTGTTTGCCTAAGGTGTCATTTTTAATGAGTAATATTTTCTGAACACAAAACTTTGTGCAAAGCATCCATTGCGCTCATTTAATTTTGTTATAATTTTTCCCCGATGAAAGGAAAAAATGTTTTCAAAAGTTCCTCACCCTTATATAAATTTCTAACATATATTTTTGAGAAACTTGGAATTTTTTAAAGTAAAAATGTCACCTTTCATTACTTATTTTTGTTTTCTTCACCTTAAGGGGATAGGATATTTCCATATCACATATTTGCTGTTTTTCCCCTCGCCTTGAAGCGTCTTTGTCCTCAGCAAAAGGGAGAAAAACCTCTTCTTTCTGCCTAATGCTTTCCATGAGTTACCACCTTACTGCTCACTTGGATGTAATGCTCTTTCATGCCACCCCAGGACAGTTTTAATGAAATGTAAGGCCAGACCAGAGGTTTTATGCCCCTCAGAGAGCCTACGCCCAATATAACAGCATTGATAATAAAAGAACAGAGTTGTTTACACAGAATGGAAAGGTGCCCATGTCTGCCCCTCCCCTCTTCCAAAGTGGTAAAAAACCTACTTAAATCAAGTCTCCATCCATCTGGCAGAAAACTGGCATTGTTGACATCTTCTAATAAGAACTTTTTAATTTCCTATACGTCTTGGCTAAGTTTTATAGAACTGTGACCTCCTTTGACACTTAAAAATGAAGAAGAAAAAAGAGCAACACTAAGTTCAAAAGGTCAAGCAGATACTTCAGCTTTCTTTTCTGTTGAAGGTAACATCTAAGTTCATTGTACCTGAAATTACATGATTTTTGTCCACCTCTATAAATCGTCATCTCAGATAGATTACTTCCACAAAGTAACCACATTACTGATAAATAAATGGTGGCTTTAGCAAGTGAGGGAATTGGAAGTGGGGACAGAAGGTGAGAGATGATGGTTTCACCCAGTCATTATCAGGTAAATTAAAGCCTTCTTATATTGGGCAAAATATTGTAAATTAAGCCCTGCTCTTAAAAAAAAAAAAAAAAGCCATGGTCTTTCTAAGAGTTTTTAATCGTATTTGGATATAGCAACCATTTGACATTTAATTTATCTCTTGAACTTTTAATAGTTCTTTGAATTAATGACTTTTTTTAGAAGTGAGGTTGAGATTGACATGGTACTGAAGCTTACATGCTCCAGAATAGATTAGTAGTTATTCTATAAATTATTTGGTCCCCAAACATGATGGCACTTTTTATTTCTTATATAGGGAGGATAATGTTAATATTATTACTCAAGAAACATATGATCATGGGAGATATGTTGTTAAACTATCCACAAGAGTCCTATCACGTCTCTTTTGTACTCCTTCCATGGTAATGATAAGTATTATTAGAAAAAACAGTTTTCTGTTGAGTTATGTACCTAAGAGGAAGAATTAACGTGGTGGGAAGTGGTTAGAGATGGGGCCACTGTAACATCGGTGCCAAGTCTTCTGTTTCATGGTATTAATTTATTTTACTTTGGCTTTTGACACCATCATGAGATTTACGTCTGCACTTACAGAGGCCATGCATTTCCTATTATAGGAGAGGTATATTTTTTTGCAGCTTAAAAAATTGTCTAACTGTGACTCTAGTTTGTAAAGTATTATAAAGAGCTATACACTGCCCCTTTGAATCTTTTCATTTTGAACTTTACAGGAAAAGACTGTTTTTAGAAAAGAATTCCTGATGTATAATTTGTTATGTATAAATAAAGTTTCATCTCTATCCAAGAAGTTGTGGTCTTTTATTTTTGTTCTGTTTTAATATAATTAACTCCTCTGAAGCAGGCAATATTGGCAAAGAGAGTATTCCACAAAAATATATTCTGGCCAATCAGATCATTTTAGGAAGAAAACTCACTTGCCAAGTTTTCATTATCCCAATATAACTACAATTAGTAACTGTTTCTTTAGACATGCAAAACAAATTGGAAATGCTCTTAAGAGCACCATGGCCCAAGAGGAACTAGAACAGGCTTATAACCAAGATTCCATTGTTCTATGTATCATAAGGTTTTATAACGGTAGGTGTTTTCAGGGGTGTTTGATTATCAGCTTTTTTTTTTTTTCCTCTCTCTACTTCCCAAATTCTTTCAGAAAGCATGTGTTCTTTTATAATTTGGGGTGGGGAAGTTATCCCCCTTTTTTATAAAGTCCTAATTTTTTATTATATAGGGTTAGTTGAGGATGAGAAACTTTTTAGGTAAAATGATAAGGAAAGTCTTTCTGAAGAGACGTGGAGGGATAGGGTAGCTGGGTGATAGACACTGGGGAGGGTATGTGCTATGGTGAGCGCCGTGAGTTGTGTAAGACTGGTGAATCACAGACCTGTACCTCTGAAACAAATAATACATTATATGTTAAAAAAAAAAAAAAGATAGTAGGAAGGGAAAAATGAAGGGGGGTAATTCGGAGGGGGAGATGAACCATGAGAGACAATGGACTCTGAGAAACAAACAGAGGGTTTTAGAGGGGAGGGGGTGGGGGGATGGGTGAGCCCGGTGACGCGTATTAAAGAGGGCACATTCTGCATGGAGCACTGGGTGTTATACGCAAACAATGAATCGTGGAACACTACATCCAAAACTGATGATGTAATGTTTGGTGATTAACATAACATAATAAAATTAAAAAAGAAAAAGATGCTAGCAGTGTGAACAGTGACTGACCACACATGCAAAGGCTTGAAGCATTAGTTCTGAAGTGTTTGAAGAACTGCACCAGTGTGGGCGGTATATAAGAAATACGGGGGCTCAGGGTTGGTCCTTGCTACTAATACTAGGAACCCCATATAAGGGCATCTGACCCAGTTTTAGAAGATGAAAGGAAGCCTCCCAGAGGAGAGTATACTTTAGCCAAGTCATAAACATCACCCAGGAGTTAGCTAGATGGGTCCTAAATCAAAGATCTACCCTACCGGCCTTCTAGAATTTCCCAACCATGTCTGAATTCACCCTTTAGGCCCTTGCTCTGAAGACAGCATGTACTCCACTTATGTCATCCCAGCAGAAAATTAGCACATTGAACTTCTGCCCATACCTGTCACCAAAACTAATTATTTTAAGTAGAGCTGGGGTCGTTTTTCTATTTTTCAAAATCTGTTATGAATTATTGCTCATTTCCTCCTCATAGGCCTAATTATTAAGGATTATATACATTATTTTTAAGAGCTAAATAGCACCAGATGAATGCAACAGATATCAATTGAGTAATTAATCTTTAGAATGCCAGGGCATGGAAGAATATTTTCATTTATCTTTTTCTTAATTCGTGATCCTTGAACCACCATCAGAATCACCTGAGGAGATTGATTAAATGCAGGTTCCCAGGCCCGCCTCTCTTGAATGGGAATCTTTGAGGTTAGAGTCCGGGAATCTCTGTTTTTAACAATTTCCCAGGTCAGTCTTTATAAACTCAAGTTTGAGAATCACTGCACTTGTTATCTACATAGTCGTTTTATGTTGCATGGCTACAATCACTAGTACCAGCAATAACTTGCATTATGAAGAGTGGAGAAAAATTGTCATTTCTTTTTTTTTTTTTTAAGATTTTATTTATTTATTTGACAGAGACACAGCGAGAGAGGGAACACAAGCAGGGGAAGCAGGACAGGGAGAAGCAGGCTCCCCGCCGAGCAGGGAGCCCGATGCGGGGCTCGATCCCAGGACCCCGGGATCATGACCTGAGCCGAAGGCAGATGCCCAACGACTGAGCCACCCAGGTGCCTGAATTGTCATTTCTGTCAAACATTTTTACCAGCCAGCTACTACAGGCTTCAAGATTCTCCTGTCAATGATAATTTGGTTTCATGAGACTGCCTTCTCTTAGGCTCCTTTTAAAATGGAAGAATCTTGGGATGCCTGGGTGGTTCAGTCGGTGTTAAGGCTGAAAAATTTCAAGGGCCCATGCTAGAATATTAAAAAGAACTGCAAAACTAATTTCAAGTCTCTCTGATAACCACCTTTCTACTGTCCAGCCCTTCCATTTGGTTTCCTTAGGATGGAGTAATGTTGGCCAAACAGGCCATATGATAAGGTAGTTAGTCCTGAAGTTTTCTCTTCATACAGTCAATGCTCTGAGATGGAAACGGATGTGCTCCTTTTATCACTGGGCACAAGAGCCGTCACTAACATAGGGGTGTTACACTATGCTAATTAAGAGCAGAAACATTGGAAAGAGCAGCCTGGATCGGAATCCGGGCCCTGCTACTGGCTCTGTAGACTTGAGAAAGTTCCCTAACCTATTTCAGCCATAATTTGTCTTAAAATGAGACCAGTAATACCTCACAGTCTGTTATGAGGATTACGGAGATGACACATGTAAACAATTAGCACAAAATCCAACAATAAATGATGGTTATCATTGTAGACCCCTGGATGATGAACCCTCTCAGACTTTTGTAGACATATCCACTCATTTCTTAGAATCTCAGAGTAGTCCTATATTTATCAGGGCTCTTGGCAGCAAGTGATAATAAACCTAACTCATACTGGCTTAAGCAAAAAAAAGATAATTTATCCCCTCATGTTATGAAAAGTCCAGGAGGTAGCCCTGGCTTTAGGTACAACTGGATCTAAATGCTCAAATTATGCCATCAGGATTCTGTCCCTGTCCCTCAGCCTGGTTTCCTTTGTGTGGACTTCATTGTTACATGGGCTTTCTAGTTGGTGACAAACATGGATAGCAGCACCTCTAAAGCGACATCCTACCAGCTTTGCTTCTTCCCATTAAATCCAGCCAAAGCCCAAGGACTAATGCTAATTGGCTCCAAGGACAAGCTTTGGTCATTTGTTCATCCCTGAATCAATCATGGCCAGGAGACCCAGCATCCGGTATCCCAGGCTGGTTCACGTCCCCTTTCTATGGAGCTAAAGCCTACCCAACCACACAGACTTCAAAGTT